ACAGCGAGAGGTCGCAGGTTCGAGTCCCGCCAGAGGCATTTTATTACACAATTTCTTTATTCATTTATTTACAGGACTACATTCGTTGAGAGCTATGCTACACGATGTATTTATTTAGTCCTTTATTCGTACACTGTATTTACCTTTCTTTGATGATTTATATATATATATTTATATTTATACAGTATATGTACAGACCCTGACAAAACGTATTATTATAATGTATAAATAGAGTATTGTTCAATATCTTTTTTGTTAATTTTCAGTTTGAAATAGAATATCATGATATTCATTCAATTGCTTGTTTTATGACAATAAATGAAATCTGATTCTGAATCTGAGTCTAAACAAATGTTTTACTGTGATGTTTTGGAACTGCTTTTCATAATTAACTTTGGCAACTTATTTAGTTTTGGTGTATTTGATTGGTTAATTTGATGACCTATAATGGATATTGTCCAATCAAAAGAGCTGTAAATTATGTTACTTCTCAAAGCGGGCGATTCAATTCCTATGCAACAAGCCTAGCGAGTTAGGCCTTGGGCTGGCTATCGTGCGAAACTTATATCAAGTATTTTATATTTTTGCCAATTTTGGTGATTTTTTGTTACAGTTTATGATGGAGGGTGAACGGTTATTGAAATGTATGAAAAGTGGAGGCGATTTTACAAGTCTTAATGGTGAAATTAAAGTAAGATTATTGTGTGACTGTCGCCTGGCTTTTTCGAAGACTTGCCAGTTCAACATTTCTTGTATGTAGGCCTAGCCCAGCCCGGAATGCTGTGCTCTGTGTAGTATTATTATCTAGCCTAGGCCTATAGCTAACTATTCTAAGGCCAGGCCTAGTCCTAGTAGGCGTGCCTAGCGGTGATTCTGCCTAGCTAAACCTACCATACTAGCCTACAGTAAATATTTGATGGCATTCCTTTTAACAGGGCTTTCCCTGACAATTTTTTTTTGTGTGGATGATAGGCCTAGGCTACCCCTACAGACAGGTAGTTATACAGTAATAAGTTTCAAATTTATAATTAGGCCTAGGCCTATATACTGTAGCCCTAGTAGTAGTAGGGCAAAATACAAAAAGTCTCTAGGCCTATGCGCTGTAAAGTGTAAAGATGTTTGGAAATGTGAAACAATAAAAAAATAATATTCATCCCACAGTCTTGTCAGTCGTTGATTTGCTCGTATTGCCGTTTGTGATGTATAATTGTGTAATTGAAAATTAGAATTTTGATTATTTTATGTACTACATTTTTATAAAAAAAAAATGAAGTTGTATAATTGCAAAATCGTATTAAAATGTGTTTATTTACGTTTGGTTTGCGGCGTATTTCAATTAACTTATTCGTTGTTAGTACTATTTTGTTAAATTATTTAATTAAATTATTGATAAATGATAAGAATGTATGGAGTTTTTTTTTTTACTATCTGGCAAGCTGACTGAGCAAATACTCACAAAATTTAAATTAAAACGATAGAAAGTGAAATACGTCCCAAAAATATTTAATAAATCAGTGCAAAAACCGAGTATTAAATAAATGGAAATAATTGAGTAAATAAACTGAAATACATCGCAAACAACAGTACAGGTACCAAGAACGAATAAGTTAATTGAAATACGCCGCAATTAACGCACTACATTCACTGAGAGACGCGCTTGGCGTTCCATAGAAATGACCGGCGGCTCAACTTGTCGGCGGCTCAACCGGTCATAATCCGATGATAGGCCTAGGCTACCCCTACAGGTAGTTATAATAAGTTTCAAATTTATAATTAGGCCTAGGCCTATATACTGTAGCCCTAGTAGTAGTAGGGCAAAATACAAAAAGTCTCTAGGCCTATGCGCTGTAAAGTGTAAAGATGTTTGGAAATGTGAAACAATAAAAAAATAAAGATGAAAGTACCAAGTCAAGCCACCATTTAAACCGCAGTATAGGGATTCACCCTCGTCGCTAACCAGAAATTGATCTACTGTACAGTAATTTAATCCTGGTCAGCACTTGTTGAGCCGCGGACTCAGACGCCTCCCCATGCAGGCCTTATTTTATAGTCTGGACAGTCACAAGACGAACAAATATATGTTTGATTTTTTTCTGTTTTTGCAGGCTTACCTTAGTCCTCTCCACAATCAGAAAAAATGCAGTAAGGAGAATGCTAACAAATATGGATTGTTTTCTCTGAAGCTTCTGCATGTGTGCGTACAGTGCTGGACTGACTGCGAACCCAATAATGGCGTGTTGACAAATCTTGTCATGATATGTAAAGAAGCCTACAACTCAGTGGTTGTTGCCAAGGCCATGATGAAAACATCTCCGCTAGCTTTGGAAAAGCTTCTCTTCCATATTCTCTTGCAGATTTTGAAGAAAGGCATGGTGATAGATGGCATGTCATTTGCAGAAGGCCTGTACTGGCAGATGCAAGAGTGCCGCCATGAACACCTTCCAGAATATACTGTTGATAATGATTACGACACAGTTGCGAAACAGTCATATAATCAGTTATGGAAAACTTGCGTTGAGTTGGAACAATCACAGGCTAAACAGAACTCTGTCAAACACCCTCTTGTCCTAGAGATCCGACAACTTGCGTTAGCATTCCTGTCGTTATCTACCGTTCCAATGAGTGATGTGGTTGAACGAACACTGAAAACTGCCACCGAGTTTGAACGGAACATGGGCCAAATGGATCAAAGGCAGAAATGGATCAGCTTGGTTAAGTTTTTCAGTGAATCCATCCAAACAATCTCAGCAAATACATACTTTCCTAAGGAACCGGAATTGTTGCAAAAACAGTTCAGTTCTCTGCATGGTCTAGGAATACAAACTATTAAATGTTGTTTGTTCTTAAATGATACAACAAAAGCCAATCAGACGCTGGAGCTCATTAGGATTGAATTGAATAAAGCAAAAGTATTGGATGATTACAACTTGGATGTGTTTCATTCAATCCTAGATCTGCTACGTTGTTTGATTATATTCAGTGGTGTGGTTGCTGATAGTAAACATCATGTAGCGAAGCATTCACAGACAGCTAAAGATGTAGATAAGCTTAAGGATTTACTGCAGAATGTTTGTAACACCATCTCAAAAGCACTTGAGAAGAACATCTTAAATGCTCACCTGATGCAGTGCTTGGTGGAAACTCTGGAGATGGTGCGCAGACAAATGATTGGCATTGTTTTCAATGATTCAAAGGGCAGTCTGAAATTATATAAGGATGACTTGGCAGATGTGTTTGTCAATGTCCTTATTACAAACACAAACTTACTTGAATGCCAACGGCAGTCAATGTGTGAAGGGGGTGCAGATGGCAATGCGGGTAAACAGAAACAAGCAAAACAACAGCTACAGAAAAATATCAACCGAGAATTGAGAGTTTTAGATCTGCTGGCTAATGTTCTGGTATTTCAGTTGGATGACACAAGGTCGGCATGCAGTGATGATAATCCAGTGTGGCAAGTGGAGGTGGTGGATAAAGTTGGTATGGCTTTGCAAAAGAATGCGGACTTGATAGAGCAAGTCTCAACTGGTGGAGGTGGAAGTCTACAGACAAATGAATATCGGTGGCTAGGTGAGTAACACTTCTGACTTACTGTACTTTCTGCTCATTTTTAAAAACTTTTTTTCATGAGCTTAGAGTATGCAGTACCTTGGAAAAAGTATATCCTAGTGTGAAAAATTAAAGACAGACTCCGGAGGGAAAAAAAAATTTATATGTTGTAGAACTGATTTTTCTAAGACAAAAAGCTTATTTGACAAAAAAAAAAAACTGGAACGGTTAATGAGATACAGATTTTTGAATATTTAAAAACTGGGGCGAAAAGGTGCAAAATGCGTGGTTATGCACCTTTTTACTCAGTTGCAACAACAAGTAAATTTTTGAGAACAGATAATACGTAAATGTATATAGGCCTACAGTATATACATATTATAAGAAAGTAAAATGTACTGTACTAAGAAAGAAAATAGGCCTATCTTATTTTGAAGATTTCAGGTGAGCGGAGGACGTAATTAAAATAAATTAAAAAAATATGATTTTTTGAAGAGAAATTTCTATTTTCTGTAGCGCAGAGGGTGCGCTAATTGGACAAAAATTAAATTTTAATATTTTCATTCAAAATCATCATTCATTATTGGTGGTCGGGAGGGTTCACTAAACAATGTATAAAAAAGCTCGCCTAAGGAGCAATATTGCAGGAATGTGACCTGCTTTCGTTTCAGACACACGCTGGAACGCACTGTAACAGCAATATTGCAGTAATATCTCTAGGTCTGAGAAGGAACGCTGCGTAACCCCAATAATATGGCTGCTGTTACTGTAGCCCTGACCTATTTGTACAGAAGACAAAGCCGGGAAGATTTCCGCAATATTGCGGTAACATAGAGATAGCATTGAATAGTAAATATTCATTGGACCAATTAGCAAAATTTTTAGAATCATCTTTGATTTTATTCCGCATGTCAATATAATGTCCTTAAATATGGTACTGTAAGTGAATGTAATGTACTGCACAGTACATGCATGTTGAGTCACACTCAAATTTGATTAATTCAAACTGTCCTAATCTTGTTCCTATGGTAATGTAATGAATTTGCTTATTGAAGAATATCTCTATTTGAAATGAAATATACAGTACAGTAATTAAGCCCTTTAGAAGTGGGTAGGTTTAAACTTATCCAGTTGATCACTGAATACTTAATTCGCGATTGATGCTGTTGATTTGACGAGCATCTCAAGAACATGTCATTCTGTACGCCATGGTTTGCACATCTTTTAGAGTTGAAAAGTCCCGCCTTGCGCTTCAAGCTGTTCAAGTGCACACTCTATATGAAAGATGATGGAGCTTGATGCTCATTGCATTAAAACCCATCCGCAGAATGCCAACCTCTAAAGTACACACGTTACAAAAGATACGGTTTCTAGTGACTGAGATTTAGTTGCCTGTGCTCCCTCTTTGTCATCTCATCTCATAAAGGTAATATACATCTAGCAAAAAGCTTGGCAGGAAATTTAATCAGCAAATTGAAGTGACAATTGTGTCTGGGAGTTGATTGTTGACTGACCTTGAGCAAGCGCAAATGTTGCTAATACAGATCCTCCTTCAAAGATTGTAAAACCTACTCAGTTACAAATCAATATATTAAGTGCACTATTGCATCAATACAGTGTGCATCACTTTCTGTTTCAGATCTGCTGCAAGAATCATTTTTTCAGTGAGATTATTTGTTTACATAAATTTATCTCTGACTCATTTATGTCAGTGGCAAATTTCAGTGAGAAATATGTGATATAAAATTATTTTTATGTAAATAAAAATAAGTAATGAACAAATAAAAATCTAACAATTTGTAGTCAAATGATTAATTTGCTTTTTTCTTCTCTGCAGGATGTAACGCTTTTAATTTGGGTCTTTTGTTTTATCGCCGGGAATGGTACAAAGATGCAATAAAGCCTCTCAGTCTGGCTTGTGATCAGCTGTGGATATGGTGTACCAATGGACAATCTGTTAACACAGACAGTGTTCAAGAGGTTTGTGTTTTCTTCAGATGTTGGGAATTGCCGAAACAGGATAACATTAAAAATAGTTATAGAACAATGCCAACGTTGTGTTATTCATAGAAGAATATTAATTACTGTATGGTTGCTATATAAATATAATATACAATATAACAACATTAACCATTATATATTTATAATAAACAATAATAGTAATTATTATCTGTATCAGTCAATCAATTTAGTATGATTATAATAATATCACATTGTTTTATAGCAGAACACAGCAATTTACTGTAGATTATTTCAATTAGAAATTATAAATTCATTCATCATCAGTACTGTATAATGCTCTGAATTGCTATGTCGTGAATGTATTATAATGTAGAATATAATGGAAACCAAATTAGGCAATTCCAAGCAAACATGGACATGACACCAAAAATTAAAATCTATGTCACAACTTTTTTTCCACTTCTAAGTTATAGCTAACATGTGTAAGTAAACAGAAATCAATTTTTTTAAGGTTCTGTGTCGCATTGTGCAAAGGCAGACCTGTTTTCCCCAACTGTCCTTAGATTCATTAAAAATGAGCACACCAAGGAGATTTCTTCAAAGTTGTATATTTCCCCCAAAAAATATTCTTCTCCCAAATGTTTGATATGTTTGATTAATACCATGACCCATCTTTCATAATATAAAACAAATTCCAAGTTGCCTCTTCTATGCAAGCTGTACAGTGAGTGTGCCTGTCAAAGCTTCAGAGTGATGTAATGCGACTAACCGAAAGAT